CTAGTGACCAGTCTACCCCTACTGACCAGTGTGACTAGTGACCAGTCTACCCCTACTGACCAGTGTGACTAGTGACCAGTCTACCCCTACTGACCAGTGTGACTAGTGACCAGTCTACCCCTACTGACCAGTGTGACTAGTGACCAGTCTACCCCTACTGACCAGTGTGACTAGTGACCAGTCTACCCCTACTGACCAGTGTGACTAGTGACCAGTCTACCCCTACTGACCAGTGTGACTAGTGACCAGTCTACCCCTACTGACCAGTGTGACTAGTGACCAGTCTACCCCTACTGACCAGTGTGACTAGTGACCAGTCTATCCCTACTGACCAGTGTGACTAGTGACCAGTCTATCCCTACTGACCAGTGTGACTAGTGACCAGTCTACCCCTACTGACCAGTGTGACTAGTGACCAGTCTATCCCTACTGACCAGTGTGACTAGTGACCAGTCTACCCCTACTGACCAGTGTGACTAGTGACCAGTCTACCCCTACTGACCAGTGTGACTAGTGACCAGTCTATCCCTACTGACCAGTGTGACTAGTGACCAGTCTACCCCTACTGACCAGTGTGACTAGTGACCAGTCTACCCCTAGTGACCAGTGTAACTAGTGACCAGTCTACCTCTACTGACCAGTGTGACTAGTGACCAGTCTACCCCTACTGACCAGTGTGACTAGTGACCAGTCTACCCCTACTGACCAGTGTGGCTAGTGACCAGTCTATCCCTACTGACCAGTGTGACTAGTGACCAGTCTACCCCTACTGACCAGTGTGACTAGTGACCAGTCTACCCCTACTGACCAGTGTGACTAGTGACCAGTCTACCCCTACTAACCAGTGTGACTAGTGACCAGTCTACCCCTACTGACCAGTGTGACTAGTGACCAGTCTATCCCTACTGACCAGTGTGACTAGTGACCAGTCTACCCCTACTGACCAGTGTGACTAGTGACCAGTCTACCCCTACTGACCAGTGTGACTAGTGACCAGTCTATCCCTACTGACCAGTGTGACTAGTGACCAGTCTACCCCTACTGACCAGTGTGACTAGTGACCAGTCTACCCCTACTGACCAGTGTGACTAGTGACCAGTCTATCCCTACTGACCAGTGTGACTAGTGACCAGTCTACCCCTACTGACCAGTGTGGCTAGTGACCAGTCTACCCCTACTGACCAGTGTGACTAGTGACCAGTCTATCCCTACTGACCAGTGTGACTAGTGACCAGTCTATCCCTACTGACCAGTGTGACTAGTGACCAGTCTACCCCTACTGACCAGTGTGACTAGTGACCAGTCTACCCCTACTGACCAGTGTGACTAGTGACCAGTCTACCCCTACTGACCAGTGTGACTAGTGACCAGTCTACCCCTACTGACCAGTGTGACTAGTGACCAGTCTACCCCTACTAACCAGTGTGACTAGTGACCAGTCTACCCCTACTGACCAGTGTGACTAGTGACCAGTCTACCCCTACTGACCAGTGTGACTAGTGACCAGTCTACCCCTACTGACCAGTGTGACTAGTGACCAGTCTACCCCTACTGACCAGTGTGACTAGTGACCAGTCTATCCCTACTGACCAGTGTGACTAGTGACCAGTCTATCCCTACTGACCAGTGTGACTAGTGACCAGTCTACCCCTACTGACCAGTGTGACTAGTGACCAGTCTATCCCTACTGACCAGTGTGACTAGTGACCAGTCTACCCCTACTGACCAGTGTGACTAGTGACCAGTCTACCCCTACTGACCAGTGTGACTAGTGACCAGTCTATCCCTACTGACCAGTGTGACTAGTGACCAGTCTACCCCTACTGACCAGTGTGACTAGTGACCAGTCTACCCCTAGTGACCAGTGTAACTAGTGACCAGTCTACCTCTACTGACCAGTGTGACTAGTGACCAGTCTACCCCTACAGACCAGTGTGACTAGTGACCAGTCTACCCCTACTGACCAGTGTGACTAGTGACCAGTCTACCCCTACTGACCAGTGTGACTAGTGACCAGTCTATCCCTACTGACCAGTGTGACTAGTGACCAGTCTACCCCTACTGACCAGTGTGGCTAGTGACCAGTCTACCCCTACTGACCAGTGTGACTAGTGACCAGTCTATCCCTACTGACCAGTGTGACTAGTGACCAGTCTACCCCTACTGACCAGTGTGACTAGTGACCAGTCTACCCCTACTGACCAGTGTGACTAGTGACCAGTCTATCCCTACTGACCAGTGTGACTAGTGACCAGTCTACCCCTACTGACCAGTGTGGCTAGTGACCAGTCTACCCCTACTGACCAGTGTGACTAGTGACCAGTCTATCCCTACTGACCAGTGTGACTAGTGACCAGTCTATCCCTACTGACCAGTGTGACTAGTGACCAGTCTACCCCTACTGACCAGTGTGACTAGTGACCAGTCTACCCCTACTGACCAGTGTGACTAGTGACCAGTCTACCCCTACTGACCAGTGTGACTAGTGACCAGTCTACCCCTACTGACCAGTGTGACTAGTGACCAGTCTACCCCTACTAACCAGTGTGACTAGTGACCAGTCTACCCCTACTGACCAGTGTGACTAGTGACCAGTCTACCCCTACTGACCAGTGTGACTAGTGACCAGTCTACCCCTAGTGACCAGTGTAACTAGTGACCAGTCTACCTCTACTGACCAGTGTGACTAGTGACCAGTCTACCCCTACTGACCAGTGTGACTAGTGACCAGTCTACCCCTACTGACCAGTGTGGCTAGTGACCAGTCTATCCCTACTGAACACTTTACCAGGCATGTACACTGTCATACTCAATTATCACTGTGATTTGCGACAACCTGGTGAAAGAACAGTAACCAACTTTTCTTGTCCCATTAGGCAGGTGGGGATGTGTACCAGTATGTATGGTGTTTTTGTGTATGTATGGTTGCGTGCATGTATGCATGTGAAGCTAACAGCTGTTCTGTAAGAATCGGTGAAATCCGAACAAAGTTGATGGTTGCCGCCCTCAACTTGCATGCCTTTGACGTCTTAGAAAGGGAAGGAATGCACCTCGGCTTGCACATGCAGAAATACCAGAACTGGTGCAGGGAGATGGTGTTGCACTTGGGTTAGATTTCATTCAGCACAATTGTACCTTGCTGTTACGCAATATCTATTTTGTGTGTGTAGAGATAGTATTGATATAAGAATAGCTATATTGTGTGTGTAGGGATAGTATGGATATAAGAATAGCTATATTGTGTGCGTAGGAATAGTATGGAAATAAGAATAGCTATATTGTGTGTGTAGAGATAGTATTGATATAAGAATAGCTATATTGTGTGTGTAGGGATAGTATGGATATAAGAATAGCTATATTGTGTGCGTAGGAATAGTATGGAAATAAGAATAGCTATATTGTGTGTGTAGAGATAGTATGGATATAAGAAAGGCCTTGTTTGGTATTTGTAATAATAGTTGATAAATATTGTGGTAAAGACACACCCGGCAATATGGCGGTAAACACACGCCTGCCCACACACACTCTCTAGGCTGCAAAGTTCTAGCACAGAGCTCTCCTTCTCACCACCACCAGCACCATCAGTTCGCGCCTGGCGCCTGGTCGATGCATGGTTGGAGGTATCCGGCATAGCAGGCTGGTACATCAAGTAGCGCATGGCAAATAGAAGATGACACAGCAACGACATAGCTCGATTGCGACGTACGTTTCGTCCCCGCTGGACTCATCAGGCAATCTTCTTCTTGGATGTCTTCATACGGGGCTTGACTCGGGAGAATGAAGTTGAAGACACTACTGCAGCTGAACTTATGGTTGATAAATATGGTGGTAAAGACACACCTCGCAATATGGCGGTAAACACACGCCACACGGGTGTGTCTTTACCACCATATTTATCAACCATAAGTTCAGCTGCAGTTGTGTCTTCAACTTCATTCTCCCGAGTCAAGCTCCGTATGAAGACATCCAAGAAGAAGATTGCCTGATGAGTCCAGCGGGGACGAAACGTACGTCGCAATCGAGCTATGTCGTTGCTGTGTCATCTTCTATTTGCCATGCGCTACTTGATGTACCAGCCTGCTATGCCGGATACCTCCAACCATGCATCGACCAGGCGCCAGGCGCGAACTGATGGTGGTGGTGGTGGTGAGAAGGAGAGCTCTGTGCTAGAACTTTGCAGCCTAGAGAGCGTGTGTGGGCAGGCGTGTGTTTACCGCCATATTGCCGGGTGTACCTTTACCACCATATTTATCAACAATAAGTACAGCTGCAGTGGTGTCTTCAACTTCATTCTTTTTGTAATAATACTCCAAACATTAGCTATCTTCTTCTTTGCGCTGTTTTTCCACCTCCTTACTGTACTCTGCCGCAGCCCTCTACTTGCCGAGCTTTTTGTACTTAGATCAAATAGCAACCATACCAATGCCTTGACCAGGGGACAGTCCGCCCTGGCTTTAGCCCTGCCTAATGCTTCGTCACGGTACGGTTTCTATGCTTTGCCTTACTTGGCTGCTGACAGGTGGAATTCGCTTCCAGCAGCATGCCGCCAGGCAGCCTCCTTTGCAATGTTCAACAGTACTCTTCGCAGCCTCTTTTGCAACACATAATGGCACAGTATGCAGCCACCGTTTTCTTTTTTCTTTACTCTATTTCACGCACTTACGGCTTTCTTCATTCAGCTCTATTTCACGCACTTACCTAGGGTACCCTGTAAAAAGACTCACAGTCTGTGGGGATTGCCCTAGTAAAATAATAAATACTACTACTACTACAACTACTACTACTACTACTACTACTTAATCCATTGTTCCTGTTCCTTTTCCCTTGCCTGTATTTCACCTGATGAGAAGGCTTAAAAGTATACTTGTGAAACCAAAAACTTTCAAGGTGTTCGTAAAGAGCCTGAAGTGTGTCCTTTTTATGAGTATTTTCGCATTTTTGTCTCAGAGGAAACTGTTTACTTGTTATTTGTCTTTGTGTTTTTGTTGACAACTTTGCAGTTCAATCTGACATGCGAAGTGACTTGGATGGAAAAATTGGTGATGTGCAGTCTTCAGTTACTGCTGTATCAGCTACCATGGAAGGACCTCTCAGGGTGAGTTTTGTCACACTAGTATTGTACCGTGTTTTCCAGAGTGTAGTTCCAACTTTATTATTATTATACGCATTCCCGCGTTGAAGTGTAGCAGCAGTATGCTGCGTCCACAGCTTCGCTTATGCAGAATAGCTTGGGTGAGAGGAGAGGGGAGAGAAAGCATTAAGGCAACCAACATCTATGAAATTGGTCACAATAACATGAAGAGAACCAACCTACATATGCATGATTGCACAAGAATGGAGACGACCAAATATAATGGCTATATTAAATCATTGTGCCACAAAACCGGTACACAGGAGATCTGACGACAATGTAACGAAACATAAAACTCAGTTACTCAATACATGTTCCACTAAATTACAAGAGAACAACGCTACAACGTTAGAATTGCCGCTAAATTATTGCAAGTGTAGAGAACGAGTCCAATACAAATGAAAACCATGAACAGACTGTCCCGAAGTTATTTTGGGAACAAATTGTACTACATGACTGTACTTGCTGATACTGACGCTGACGGAACACGAATTTGAGTTGAATACTCACGAAGTCTTGTACATGCACATCATTATGCGCCGGTGTTGTGGAGTAAGCAGGTACTTCAGTCACCAATCCAGCTTCAGCTCCACGCTCGCTTCAGCAGAATGTTGCCCGCGTTTGCTTTGCCTCCACACGGATAGACGACCAGCGCAGAGTCCCGCAGCTCCGTGGCCGTAAAGTCTTGATATTCGCCGTTAGCGCCGTCAAGTCTCAGTTCACCTCTCACACCAAGCCGCCCTATAAAAATCTTTCTCTCTCCATTGGAGTGCTCCCCAGTTGCGCGAGGAGACTAGAGAAATTCCTCCGGTGAGCGAGGAAGAAGAGCGGAGTTACCCAACTCAACCTAACTTCCAACTTTCAACTTTAGATACGCTATTTCAGGCCGCAAGTCACTTGTGCACACTGCGCTCCGGAATTTGAGAATATGTGCACTTTCAAAGTAGTCTAATGACTATGGATCTCACTGTAGTCAAATTTACCACATCTGAGTCAATGACTCTACACGAAACATATTCATACATTTCTGGTGTCTTCCGCCAGCTACACTGCAAATACAAGATGTGCATGAAACCCCATATGTTACACTTGCATTTACAGATGTAATTTTTATGAAAATGTTGGCTCTGATCACACTATAGTACTGTCTTTGTAATCAAAAATATTCTCAAATCACGACTGCGTAATATACTCTGGATATACCTTGAGTTGCTTTAAAGTTTGGCAAAATTAGGTCTGTGTATTATGCTCTGGTGTGCTTTATACTCTGGCAATTAGGGTAGTTATTTTGTGTTAGAATGCATACTGGCATGTTTGCATTTGTCACGCACCGCTACTTAACCCTTTTTGAGCCAGGAGCGCATATATGCGCTCTGAAACATAACGTGCTTGACCATGAGCGCATATATGCACAAAAAATCGCACATTATCCCTTTATGGACTGCTAAATTTGTACAGGAAAGAAGCGACATGCGAAACTCAGTAATAACTCGAAATCGGTGTGCATTAGCCAATACACCACCATACATTTTTGGAAAGTAGATAGGATAAGCTGTCCAACATCATCCTCGCCACCGCTCTCGCTACTAGCAGTATCAGCCAATCCATCAGATAAATTGTTTTCTTGAATATCTGGGATACAGTGGTCCCTCTATAATCCGGCACCATTTGTGCCACGAAAATCTGCTGGATTAGGGAGGGTGCTGGATTAACAAATCTGATTTACTGCTGCAATGTGCATGAAGAGGACATTTTGGCTACTGAAAATTGTGCTGGTTTATCGAGGGTGCTGGATTATAAAGTGCCGGATTAGAGAGGGACGACTGTATCATCATCACTATCACTGTCCACTTCGAACTCGTCGTCATCAGACTCGTCAAGTAGGTCGCCAGAACTGTCCACGTTAGAGTTCCAGTTCAGAATCATGCCGATGGCATCGTCGGTATCGTCGTGCCATGACAGTACTCGTACTGCAATGTTAGTTCTGCATGCTCGCGGAAGCTCTCAATTTCTTTCTTGCGCGGCCGGTTTCGTCAACATTTTGACTAGGGACCCCCCGGCGAATTTAGCACCATTGGAAAGATATGGATTTCGTCTTTCGATTTGTGTAAAAAAATATCGCCGAAAACGTGCGGTGCGCTCAGAAAAATTCGCGTTTCGAGTTTCGAGCTTCTTCTTCTTCTTCTTATTATTATTATTATTAGATCAAAACTCGTACAGTCCGTCCACAAAGGGTTATATCGCAGTGCATATATCAGTGTACAAACTATGGTAAATCCGTGACGCATAAAGACAATCAATACACCAAAGGAAAGGTCTTGAGGTTATCTTTCCGAAGATACAAATTTCGTCGCTATAGGATAATGACTCATTGAGCGGCGACATGATGAACACCGAGATTACGGCCCGGAGCAAACGCGATTTTTTTGGTTTATGACTTCGCATTTATTTGGAGCAGGCTAGGGGATTTCCCTTTGGCACGACGCATGAGTGATGGACATCAAATATAGTGCTTGGATCTCAGCTTTCCAGCGGAGTTCGAATCGTGAAAATCGGTTGAATTTGGGCAAGATGCTGAACAAGAACGTGAAATTGAGTTGTGCCGTTCCGAGGCACGGTGGAGTAGTTTGGAGAGGAGATGGAAGTGGCCCTGGTGTGTCTATGTCGCTGAGATCTACCATGATGGATTCGCTTGGTCCTGATCTTTCCAACGAGCCCAGGATGATGAAAATCCATCAAGGTGGAGTGAAATGAGAATAAATTTCGTTCAGAGCTGTGTGCGCAAACTACACAAAGAGAGTCAGTGCGCTGGACAGCCGGCTGATTGGAGAAAAGGGGCCCCAGCATGGCAAGGGTTAAGTGCTATGTGGTATTCCACTTGCATTGCCAATGCAGAGCTTTGCGCATGCCTAGCCTGACGTCACATGTCACATGGATCTTCAATGGTAACGCCAACCAACATGGTGTCGTTCGTGCATGTGCATGACTGCTTGCTTGCTTTCACTTTCTTTTTTGATGTTGGCTACACTGCAAAGTCATATTATTGGCAACTCTTAGCTTGTGCTAGAATCAGATTTTCATTCTCTCATCTCCACGCTTCAAAATCAGACTTCATTGATGGCTGTTGGTGCCTGAAACAATGCCGTCGTCTACTGTGGACTTGCTTTTATTAGCATCTGATTTTCTGAAATAATTAACTTTTTACTTCAAAACCAGGCTTCAGTGACACCTGTGCATGTTGGCTCAGAGATTGCTGTATGACATGGAGTACACAGCATTCAGATGACTCTGCCGCTCTCACCAACGGCATGTGCGAATTGCTAGTCGGCCCCTCGCCCAATTTGGGTCCATCTGGGATTCGAGAAGTAATTCAGGATGAAGTTCATTCTGCCATCACGGACAAGGTTGGAACCTCTGTCTTGCCGCAACCATGGACAGTACTAGCGTCACCAGCTGTGTTAGCCGACAATGGCAAGAGTGCTGCATAATCAACTCCCTGCTGGCTGGGTGATCAAGATAGGTGCTTGGAAATATGATGACAGCAGGTTCATATCCTGCTGGAACTTCTCTGACCTACTGTTGCCTTAGACCTTGGAGGCAGTTGATAACCATAAGTTTTTTTGCTCAAATTTAGTTCTTCCGGTGATGCAATATCAGTTGAAGCGGTGGTGGGCACCATTGGCCCGGCTCGTGGACGTCTGCATGCTATCACAACTTGGTCGGCAGCAGGTTATCTCCATATGAATGTTGTGATTAGTAATGCACTTCCATCACACTGCAGGAAGGCTGTTATCCCACTGCATGGATTTTGCAGGTCACCAGGCAGTATTTCACAGAGGCTTTGTAAAATCAGCGCTTTTGCAGGCTTCTCGCTTCCCAGCCAGGCAAGTAATTTGATACCATTGACATAAATACTTGGCCACTCTGTATCCCAGGCGAAGCTAGGCCTGAATGTATGTCATGAAACCTTGTTCACCTGGTGTCTGCACACAACATGTGTCCTTTCTTTCATCTCGAAATAGCACACCAAGCCCAAACAGTATCATCTTCGCTGCTCACCCGCAACAATGCAGGCGCCGTCATCTACCTCAACCTCAATCTCGGCAATTGCATATGGTCAATCTGCCAGCTAATCTACATTTGCAACCGCTGTGACAAGGATCATCCACGTAACAAGTATTCCCGCAAAAGTTCAGCCGCCAGCCCAGTAGTTTAACGGGATCACGATCCCAACATGAACTGCAAATACCTGTTGCAAGCGTTCATAATCTTCCTTTCCCATACTCTGCTCAGTACGTCTTAACGTGTGAAAACAGAAACTACTAGTATGCCCCCACCTCAGCCAATGTATCTTGTGAAGCTAGGCATCAAAAGTGCGTTCCGGCATATCCCAATATGTCCTGAAGACCACCCGCTATTTGTCATATTCTGGCTAGGCAGTCAATAGTACGAACGTGCTCTAGCATTTGGACTTTGCTTGAGCCCTGCAAATCTCTTTGATTCAGTTTCCTCAGATATAGAGTGACCATTTCTCTAATGCCAAGCTTTGCAACTCCTATGACGATTTTCTAAACATTTAAACTGGCCAAACTGTTGCATAGCGTTAATTAGTAATCCTGCTGCGGTCCTTCCTATTCGTGTCACTAGCGCCAGCAAAGGTGGAAGGTTCTGTGAGATCATTGACTTAACTCGGTATCATCCTGGACTGTGTGCGGCCCTAGGCTAGGATGTCCATGTTGGTGTTGGCCAGCACAATCAACAGCCAGAAAATATCAAAGTCGAATCCCTATCGGATAAGCTCTCGTTTGTTGCCCATGTCATCAAATCTAATAGAACTTTTATCACTGGACCTTCAACTACACACAGATGTACTTCCTCCGCGTCATCGAAATTGTCGCAGTTTGGCTAGCGAATTGAAACTTGATATTACTCACGACAGAAGCTACAGAATCAGTAATTTATTA